AGGCTCTGGAGATCTTCCGGAATGGACGCGGCAAACAGTTCAGCATCTACCGCGAAAGAATCTATGATGAGGTCGCGAAGAAGTGGCTCCTGGCTTTCAGGGTCACGAAAGATTGCGGGAATGTCGCGTACAAGGACTTCTTCGAGCAGGTCGCTGTTCCTGAGGTGAAGGACAGGAACGAAATCTTCGGATTCTCCCGTGCATCAGCCGAGAAGACTGGGGACATCATCGAGCTTTGGCTTGGTGTCTTGGATGTGGCAAACATGGCAAAAGGGGTTGTGAATGTCTTCAATGCCAGCGTTGACCCTGCTGAATTCCTCAACGGCTTGGAGAAGGCATTGGCCCAATTCACATCAACTTCCAGAACTACAAGCACCATCAATGACAAGAGACGAGGCTCTTTCGACTGCACCCTGCAGACTGCAGAAGCCGAAAAGGTCATGAAGATCATCCACGCAATTCCCGGGTATGAAACGTTGAATGACTTCAACTGTCTCACAGAGTGGGAGAAAGATCAGGTCATCTCTCAGTTTCGAAGAAAGCATCATGTCACAGGGGACGACGCCAACATGGGCGCTGATGCTGATGCCAAGCCAGGTGACGAGTCGCCGACTCACCCTGGGGAGGAGGAAGCTGATGAGCCAGCAAACGACCCTACTGATGTGGTTAGGGACTCAGAGATTTCCGGAAAACAACAACTCCTGGATGCGTTGGGAAAACTCTTCACTGTCTCTGAGGATGTCAATGTGTGTTTGTACTGTGGTAGCGCCAAACATGGTCATTTCGAATGTGAAAATGAGAAGAAGGATGAAGTCAGAAAGGTGCTAAAGGCCGTCCGGGCGTCGCTCGAGGCTGATAGTCCCACATCTGATGACGTCGAGATGGAACCACCTGAGCACAGAAAGGACGGATCAGGTTCTACGGAAGGGTCAGGGCAAACGGATGAGCCCACAAAACCAAGGTTTGGTGAATACCAGTGGTACGACAACATCAGGACTATGTCCGAAGTCGGAGACCTGGATGAATATGGTAGGTTTTGTATTGAAGGGCGTGATGTTACCAAGCTGGGACCCCAAAATGTCGTTGATCTCAATGAAGTGGTCCGGGACGCTATTGTCAGAGGAGGAGGTGACACTTGGTCAGTACCAGAGTTCCTCGCAAACTACTCCGACAACAACATCAGAAAACCCTTCTACAAACGGATCGAAGCGCCGCGAGATGGTTTCTTGAAAATCATCCCCACGACGGGAGCCCACTTCTTCAACTGCTTCTACTTTGGCGGTGTGGAGTATGCGGCAAACTATCGCTTCGAAACCGGTAATCGGCTCGACAGCTATGAGGACAAGGTGAGCGTTTCACTGAACAGGATCCTACGACACAATGTGGGGAAAGCCTCAGAATCACAGAGCTTGTTTTGTGACGATGCTGGCTGGGTACCCATTGAGGACGTACTCAAGTGTGAGTCAATCTGGAGACATGAGCACCAACGTTGGCCGCATGTCTTCCTCGCCCCCAAAGGGAAAGCAAACGATCGAAATGCATGGAACATGAAAGAGGCGAGCAACCGCATGGCGTTGCTGTTCAAGATCATGTTCCACTGTGCCCGATATGGACGTCGTGTACGTGAACAAATCTTGGCGTTCGGGATCAACAAGGACATTGATCGCAGCAGCCTGACATGCATTGACAACAACGTCAACGCGGACACGCCTATTCCCGACGAGGGGCTATTGCTCTATCCAGTTGCAGTTCGCGCTCCAACAGGGCACAAGGAGGGATCCTCCAGAGATGACGTCTTGTTGATGTCCTCCTTGCTCTCGCATCCGATTGCGCCCAATACCATCATGTCAATGCCGGTTTGCTTCCACATCACGAAGAAGACCAACCTTCGAAGCATTTGGAGGGAAGGACTGATTCCTGGAGGTCTTGGGGAAGGTCATCGTATGTTCACGTTCTTCAATCCATACGTGCCGCGGGATCATCGCTCATGGACTATCACGAAGAGCGTTGACACACGAAAAGGGGACTACATCTGCCTCTACATCCCGACCGAGACCCTGATGGTGGAGTACGGTGGTCGATTGACGGATTCGGCACAGATCGTTACGCCAAAGATCATCCCGTTCTCAGCGATCAGAGGAGGATGGATTCAAGATCCAAAGGATCAAAACAACAAGACATGGCACCGGTTGTTCGTTCCGTCGGGCGACGACCAGGTAGTCCGGTCAGGCACTATCAAGTCAAGAACTGTCGCCACCAAGGAGTCCATTCTGAGGATCGCAAGTCAATGCATCGACGCCGAAAAGCAACCGTATGACGAGATCACCATGGATGCAATGAACATCGTCCACCAGTTCAGGAACAACCTAATTGAAGGGGGTGGACAAGAACAATACCTCGCCCGCATCAAGCTGGTCGACTACATCGTCGAGCGCAAGAGGGTGGAAACTTCAGGTTGCCGTCATTGCCCTCATTGCCTCAATGAGACGCCAACGAGATTGGCAGTATGTCTAGGATGCTGGACAGAGCTTGAGAGCTGTGGAATTCGACCTTATAGATTACAAGCTCCTGAAGACGATGAAGACGAAGCCACCAAGAAGGAGATCGACGAGGAGGTTCGCCGACAGGAAGAATCGTTGTTCGAGGATACGGTCCATCAAGCACAGGAAAACGTACCTGAACCCAACGATTATGGCTTCAATCCTGACGAAGTCGACTACAACGAAGGCGATGACGAGGAAATGGCTCAGGAGGAAGAGACTCAGCAGGAAGACGACGAGATCGTTGAGGAGGACGACGATGATGACATGAACGTCGAACCTGAGGAAGAGGCTCCAGCCAACCTGCCAGTATGGACCAAGAATCTTGTGCCTGGAAGCAAGGGTTTGCCAGGAGATGGACTAGTAAACAATGATGTCTCCGAGGCCGCGGCTCACTTGTACGACAATGCCGTGATGTCAAAGATCATCGCAATGTTCAGACTCTACTACAACCAGAGAGTCAGTTTGACCCCAGAGGAATACTATGCGTTGATGACAATCACCAAGCGAGTCCGACTGGACCTGGACGACTTCTGCCCCTACACGGGCGAAGATCAGGACGGCAAACTCAAGCGGCCGACTGAGCAGGAATTGGACGCACTCTTTCAGGAGAAAGGGAAGACGAACTCATGGTCAGAGGGAGAATTGATGTACTCTGGGCGACCAAGAAACATGATGATGCCTGTCATCAAAACTCTAGAAGTTTACGAAAAGATGATGGAGTTTCTCATTTGTGCCGGGTACACTCCCGATTCCTTAGGTTTCCTCATGCCAATGACGAAGATGCAGGGAGATGCAAAGGAGAAGCAGGAGATGAGGGTGACCATTAGCAACTTCCTCCGACGATTGATGAAGGGAACCTTTCCCGAATATGAGTCATACACCTTCTTTCGTTCCGGGAGCCACGGCTTCCCCAACTGCATTGAACTCCCAGCTTTCTCGGTATATCTGAGTCTGAGAGAAAGGGAACAAAGGGTGGAACTACTCTTCGCTGCCCAACAATGCGGTATTCCATTACCTCGCAACTTCATCGGCAAGATGGCTTACGCCATTCAATTCGCTGAGTCCGAGGCGATGAGGGGAAAGTCCGAAATGAAAATAAAGATGGCTCCGAACCTGGGGGACGAAGTGGTAGGTGAAGTATTCAAAGCAGTCGGGGACAGTGCCAGCACCAAGCGTGCTGCTGCGGACGCGAAAGCCAGATCATCAACACAGCCTTCACAGAAACCTGAAGATACTGGTTCAGCGTCATCATCGGCCAGTGCACCAAAGGCTAAGGCCATGCCGAAATCTTATGGACCACCTAAACCACCACCTGCGAAACCAGCATCGCCGAAAGCTGCTCCGAAACGTGCGGCAGGTTGGGAGAAATCTCAAACGACACCTCAGTGGAAGAAAGTCCGCCGTGAGGAGTAAATCAACTACCTCTGTCCATCCAAATGATCACTGGACTATAAGATGTCTATCGTCTTTGTGAACAGATGATCAGGAAAAGACCAATTGAGAGGACTCTGAGCGAGGCAGTAGACTAATTCGCTTAGGTTCCATGTTCTCACTATTCCCAATCTGCACGATTTTCTTTTTAGCAATGTGCACGTGAATTCACTAGTTAGCGTCAATTGCTATTCTTGGTGGAGCAGTCAACTTCCGTCGTCGATGGAGTGACTTGCGAAGCCGTAATCGTAGAGTAGCTGCAAGCTAGTGATAATTTGCGTTGTACAGCTCGAACTTGCGCTGACGCATTGCATACCATAGAGTAGGCAACCCCGGATCCACTACGCTCGTCGGGTGTGGGTGAAGGGGGAGCTGAATGGATCTGCGTGTACAAAGGCGTAATTCGTGCACCACAAACAATATAATTCAAAGTTCCCACTCTCGTGCCTGCGGTGCGAAGCCACCGTAGGCATGGGGGGTGCTAAAGGGAACTAAACGGTACTGCACACATGTATAAGCATGTGGAGTAGGCCTGACATGACGCCAAATATATGGCTCAAGTCGCAAGGGAAAACGGTGTTTGCGCTGCTCAGCAATGCTGCCTGGACTCCGGCTACTAGGACGCTAGGGACTCCAACAACTACAACCAGATATCCGGGAACAAGGATTAAAATTGTTCACATATACATATGTGTGTGTATGTGTGCGTAGATATCATATAAACATTACATTGTATATTTCTGTGACAAGCTGATGATGTGATTGCGAGACTAAGCTGCTCATGAAGTCGTAGAACAGCAGCCTTGGATCGGCGAGAATGGGATAAGCAAACGACATCCTTCCTGTAGTATAAGTATAATATTTCCGTTATATTTCCATATAAAATCATATAAACTATGTCTTTCTTCTACATTATATTCATATCCATGTAAGCCCTTATGACAAGGTTCAGGCCAGGAGTGGAAACAACGGCGTGAAGCAACAACTTCTTGCAGGGCTCTCCAGTTCTACAAGTCTTGGAATGACAATCGCAGCATGGCGCAGCCGCAGCATGGCAAATCCGCCAAGCAGCGGCTCTCCTGAGATCTTGTGGTCTCGCAAAGCCTAAGGCGTTCAGCGATCATGAAGGATCTGAAGTTGCTGCACTGCCACTATCAACATCTGCAACGCTTCCTTGTGATATCCTGTGATCTGTTGATATCTTTCGATAATATGTCTTGATTGTTTTTGATGTCGCTTGAAACACCTGGATGAAAGTGATGGCTGGCCTCTGCTGTCAACTGCTTTATCTCCTCCGCTTTGATTCCTGATAGAAGAGGAAGGGAAGTCAGCAAAGGGTCGCTTCCCATGGGTGGGGGTCAGCATTTCCCCTGTATTGACTCACCAAGCCATTTTGATCATTTTATATCGTCATCCAATTTTAGAGGTCCTCCGATCTCAACCGTCCAAACTACTGTCAGTACTCTCTACTGCTTCCAAGAGGCCCAAAGGATCTGGATGCAGCTGGTGAGACCAAGCATGAGACACAGCCAGCACCAAATCATTCTGTGTGGGCACCCTTCCTTGGATGAGCTGCGCACTTCGCACCAGATAAGCCATCAAAAACATGCCGGGCCTTGGGCCTCCAATCCGCCAGTTTCATCACCTTTCCAGCGCAGCCATGGTCAAAAGCAGGCGCCCACCCCATCCTATGGCAGCCACGGCTCGTTCGTCGCCGAGCTTTCCCACAATCTCTTGGTCTCAGCCAAGGGCCAAGGGCTACAAGACACAGGAAAACAGAATACAAGAAGAAAAGACTGCTGCAATGCTGCACACATTTCTGCAGTATTCATTCTATATGTGGTTGGCATCAAGCTAATGGTTCGTTTTTTTTCCCCCCCCACCCCCCAAATCCGCCGGCGCGTGTCAGAAACAATAGGTCTTTGCTATGCGTCACGGGGGCAAGCGGCTGCGGGAGGGGGGTCCTCCCACCGTGTTCCTTTAACTTCAAGATCCCTTCTGATCACGATAGCTTGAGGCTAATACAGATATCACTTAAAATGTGGCTTCATACGTCTTGTTCGAATGGCCGGAATAATTAGTGAATTCAGCATTGTATGTCATTTCTTGATATTTCTTGCATTTCTCGCTGTATTTCTGACTCGCTGAGTTTGACACATCTCGGCCACGGTACTGGCAGCTCCTGCACCACCTTTACTGGCCTCACTGCAGGAAGCACAAAGCGGGCGCAAAAAAAAATGATAAGATTCTGATGGATTGTGGATTGGCACCAGATGGCACCAGAATACACTAGGTCATCCCAAACGAGCAAAACTCTGATGCGGATTTTGTTTCTTTGGATTGTAATATCTCGTGCCTTGCAGTAGGTGACTTCATGCTATACCACAACAATACCAATCACTTGTTTCGGTAGGATGTCACTTCAAACTTCAGGATCTCAAGCCATGGTTGTGCTGCAAACAACAGCCGCAGTGTCCAACCAGTCGTCCAGGCGGCGGAAAGCAAACCACTTCTTCAAGACCAGCTTTGGCAGTAACCTGAAGGATCTGTGAAAGGGTGAGCAGTGAGTCCGACCGTAGAGTCCAAAGAGATGTGGCCAAAATTATGACCATGACAAATTCTCTGCAACTGGTCACTTCTCATAGACGTGTCTCATTCTAGACGTACAACATCGTACAACTATGTACAACTACTATTTGAACTTTGATGCCGCAGAATGCCACATTGGGTGAGGCAACAAATGCAGTGGCATGCAGCAGCTGTCGAATTCCGAGGTGCCGTTGCATGTCGAAGATCCTCCGACGTCGCCCGTGTCAGAGTTGGTTTTCTTTGAGGCATGGTACATGGGTCAGGCAGGAGTCGGCTGGAATGCAGCGTATGTTGGTGGCAGGTTGTTGAAGTGAGTGTGAAAGTTTGGTAGCTCATGGTCAATGTTTGCTGATTTAACCCATGCGGACTTGCGCGTCGGGTTGTCAGGCATGATAGGCATGTGGTGAGCTGCGCCAAAAAATCTACAGTATTGAGAATTCGTCTTTGAGCACAGCGGGAGCAAACTCCAAACATCCGCAAGGACAGCTCCGCCGTGAAAGGCATTCATCTTCACATATCTTCGTCGCATATCGTTGCCTGACCTCCTCGAGACTGAAAAGAACGCCACCCACCGGTGTGCCAAAGGCTGAACTCACCTGAACAACCCATGGCCATACCCAACCCTCAGGACGCTCAGGTATCGAATGTATTGAATGTATCGAATTCGAATTGCTTCCACAAAGATTGCTCACACGGATATTGATACTATTGATATGTTTTAAATTCAATTATATATGCATACAATTGCATACAGAATCGTACAAATACAAGTCAATCATAGTCAATCAAACTATATTGACTATATAAATCATTTCATAATTGGCTTCAATCAGGCTTGGGATTTGTGGCTGGGCATGGTAGAGATTTGTGCAGATCCCATGGAGAAGTGAATTTGTTCGCCTTTGAAGCTTCTCGACTGATGTCCTTTTGTCCTTTCCACATCGCGAAGTCACTGTGGCCCGGGCTCCCGCGGCCACAGCTGCAGAGAAGAGTTGCTGCCTCAAAATGTCAAAAGATTGTCAGAAGCCAAGCACCAAAAAACTCAAACAGCTTGGCCCAGCATGCCCAGCAGAATCACCCAAGCGAACTGATGCAATGTTTTTCCAAATTGCTGCTTTTTGATGCTTGAGCAATGCGCCTCTTTCCCTCGTTTCGAAACTGAGGAAAGAGTCTTGACCTCATTGCTGACATGTTTGCAAGCAAGATGGCGATTAGACGGATTGCATGCTAGGATCCCAAAAACAAGAAACATCAAACCATCTGAATCTGAGAACCGGACAAAACATTGGCCCAACAAACGCCAACATGCACCATTGGACCTTAGCCCAATCCAAGGAGTTCGCTTCACATGTCATACCTGTGCCGTTGGAACCACTTGCTATCCACAGCCAACACGTAGCACAGCCTTGGCGCATCTTGGTGCCCAGGCCCTCATGGCCCAACGAAAGTCCTGAAGCCACTGCCAGGATGAGGCAAGGCACCTTCCATTCAGGTTCTATAAAGATTCTATATGATTCAATGCCATTCAATGCCATTGTTCGATGCACTGTGCAGGTGAGGCAAGTTTAAAAAACAAAAAAAAAGCAGTACCACTTCACAGGAACCTGGTTCTGGAAGTCAACGCGCCCAATTGTATGTCGTGCTCTGATCTGTATCCACAAGTGGAATGCGTCACATATTTCAAGTTATCAACCAGCCTTGATGAACAAGGTGCGAAAAGTTGCAACCTTGTTGCATCAAACTGCAGGTGCAAACGCATTCCGAACATTCCTAGGGCTGCGTCATGACTACTTACCATTCCATGATTTTGTCTACAACTGACAAATAGCCACAAGGAGTGCGGCTAGCTCAACATTATTTCTGTAGGTGGCCTTCCTTTCTGGATCTTGGATGATCTTGGGAGGAAGCATCTGGCAGGACAAAGCCGTTGAGAATAGTCTTCACCTGCCAAGCTGCTATGAAGCAGAGCAACAAGAGACACGCTAAGAACGAACAAATCCAGTCACACCATTGTTGTGGTGTGATTGCATGCTTTGCTCCAAAGAGCGGGATGCCTATATATGAGACTCAAAAGTCTGGAAACTACCTTTCATGGAGTCAGCATACTTGGACATTTTGGAAAGTAAGGGCAAGCAAATCTTGGATATTCAGGATGTTTGTCAATTGCTCAGTGCTCGCTGACACTCACTCCCGGCCGAACCTCAGGAATCCCCGAGCCGCTGGCGGCTGGTGCAAAGCGACTGACGATGAAAGCCTCAATCCATCGTGCTGGGCAAATGAAGTGTCTTACGAAACAGACTCTAACTCCATCAATCGCACTCCCCACAACATAGATAACATAGCTACACTGAAGGCACACAGACTCAAAAGGAACATGCACACAGAAATCACAATCACCCTCTTTATCTGCACCCCCTTCTGCAACCAACTCCAAATTGTCCATGGCCCCGTGGGTACGATCGCCACATCATCATACTTCAGACGGTTGCGTTGGGCGTGTCACTGCAGTTGCCGCTTTCTCAGCTCTTTGCCGATGCTGCCGCCATCCAAGTTCCTTGCGCCCCAAGGACACCAGAACTCCCTGCTACGGGCACTGCTACCACCCACCCACACACACACACACACATACAGATATATGATACAGATATATGATATAGATATATATATATATAGATATACCATATATGTCATTTACCTTGGACATCCTCGGGGCATCTCTTGGGAAGAATTCCCATGGGCCCGTGGGCCTAGGACCACCGAGGCCGCAAAGCCAATGATGTTGACACCCCAGGAGATCTGTCGGATGGAGATTGCAGGTCAATGTCTGGCAACGGCCAAACTTGAGGATGTTTTGGATGTTTTGACATGTTTGGGGATGTGGCTGTACATTCGGGATGCTGATCTGCTGATTCATAACTTGGCACAGTCCAAGAAAAGCTTGCACGCACTTCCTGGCTGCATTTCCGAGGCATCAGCCCACTGTCCCTTTGGACAATGTTCCTCGCTCCTGTCCCCGTGGCGTCACTAATCAGGATCATGTTACCAAACATGCTATTAACAGGCCCCATATACATATACTCTTTAACTGGACATCCATGGACATCTTTGAACTTCGCAGTTCCCCGGTTACATTTCTTGTACTGTCTTGGGGAGATGGCCTCCTGACCTCCCGACAGAGCTGCAGGCACAATCAATCACTTAATAATTTTATATTACTTTATCTTTATATGGCATAGGCTACCACTTATCCGACAATGAGCTGCTCGACTGTTGATGAAAAAATGATTCATCCAAGAGAAATCTCCTGAATGGTTCTGCTTGGCAGAAACCGAATCTGAAGGAAGAAAGAGCTCCAACCTTGGATCCCAGGCTGGTATGACATGGATGTCCTGCTCCCCATGGTTCCACATGGTTCCGCAATATTGCAACATACCTGCAGCCTCAGCCACGGATGAGTCTAACCTCTAAGGTGGCAGCCGAAATTTCAATGAGGACATAGGTTGCATAGCACAGGGCCCCAACACCTCAACTCTCGATTGAAAGCTTCAAGAACACCCCGCCAAAGCTTCCTGACAACTGCTGGCCCTGGAAACGCCAGCTCGGCAACATGTTTTAACTTACAGCTGCATTTCTTCCCTAGCCTTCCCTGCCATTACCCTCCCAATTCTGTCCGTTTCCAGTTGCAATCACAATTCCATCCCTAAAGTTCCAATCCAAGCAATTATGCCCACATGTGCCAACAATGCGATTGCCCCTCTCAAGGCACAGGCTTGCGGCCAAGCCCCAGTTTTGTATCGCCTGGGTGTGGCTTTGTATCATGCCAATGTAAAAGAAGCCCAAAATTACTGCTTGCACGAACCATTCATTGCTAAGAGTACCGCCCAGCACCAGTTCAAGAGGCAGCCATGTGCCTGGCAGAATCTGTTGCTGCCAGTTCTGCAGGTTTGTCACTTGACTGTTGCATCTCCACCTGCTGTTGTGCAATGAGTTTCTTTTCCTCTTCGTGCAGCTCGACCTGGGCGCCACTTGGACAGGGTCCCAGCCTTTCGGGGGGTGGGGCTGCCGACCTGTTGGGGACATCTTTCCTGGACTAGTGACTAGCATTGAACTGTGGGGATAGAAAATCCATGATCCCTCGTAGCAGTCGTAGCATCAGCATGGCTACCGTGGCCATGCGAGTGCTGTGTCACCTAGCAGCCTGCCTTTTTGCATGCATCCTTTTGGTTGATCCATTGGATCGTTGGTTGCAAAAGCTGTACACTGCACATCTGCAACTCGGGTCTGGGACATGCAACAGGTTTGGCTTGCAAAAATAAATCGAGCAGCACGGTATCTGCACACTGTACAATTCTGCGAGAGTTTTCAGCCGCATCGGCTGGTTCCCCGCCTTTTACCAGCCGCCCTACGAGATAAGAAAACAACTACAGCTGGACTTGCCAAAGGGTTTGGGATTCTAGTCTTTGGTCCAGGGCCTTTTGGCTTCTTTGCATCAGGCACAATGGTCCGCTTTCTCACCACATACCGAGCCATTGTCACCAAAGTCGCTGGTGGAAGCCTGTTCTGACTGTCTGGAAGGGTTGCCTCAAACAGAGGCACCACACTGTGGTCGGTCTTGAAGACATGGAAGTTTGCATGGTTATGCACCTCCTCCGCTGTTCCGTCCAAGGCAGCACAAACCAATAAAGGCCTCGACTCGCCTCGCGCATAGCTCCAAGAGATGGCGGCATTGTCTGCCTTGCCAGCATAGATACCGACACCGAATGCTGAGCCATTGGCCACCTTGACACCACTCTCCTTTCCAGGGACCAGCAAACCACTGCTGTAGATAGATCTCAAGGCATTTTCGTTGGTACCATGAAAGGCCAACATCAACTTCTCTCGACCTTTTGCTGCCAAAGTCTCCAGGAACTTCTTCTGCACATGTTGGCTGATAGGAGCTGGCCTCAAGTTCCAACGAGCAGACGTTGGGTTGTAGAGGGGCTGCAGTTGTCTACAGAAGTGAGAAGCATTCTTGTAGAAGAACTCTGAGCGGAACTTCTCAAATCCGCAGGAGGGCTCTGCCTTCAGATCGTAGGCAAAACGCACGGAATATTCCTCACTGAGTCCGGCCAAGTACTTCTCCTCAGCACTGAGCACGACCTTCTTCTGCTTCTTTTTAGGTTCAGTCAGATTCCCGGTGCCGACTTTATAAGAAATGGCCACCAGATTTGCCTGCAAGACAGCTGCCTCCCAGGGAGACCTGCAGGAGTGCATCTGGAGATGCATGCTGATGTCGGAGCCTTCAGATCCCGTGGCCGTGGTGCAAACGGAGGCCACCTCAGAGTCCTTGGAGATGTTGAGCGGGCAAGAAACGACCAAACACTTTGGAACGGAGAGAGGGGACTCAGGAGTCATTAAAAATATTTAAAAATCATTGAACGTCAACATACACCATGGTAAACTTGAGATCACCAATCAAACTGAGGTTCGTCGACCTCTTTCAAGCTTTCTTTTCTGGCCCCGGTGAGCGGAGCAAGATGCTCGAAAAAAAGGTATGTCTCTACAGCACTGTCAGCAGCTGTCTGCACACTGCTAAGCTCTTGCTGTGTCTGGCGGTGCTCCGTGCAGGCATGGATCACTGCATCTTGCAGTTGACGCGTACGAAGTTTTCGGCTTTTACCTTGCGGGCGTCAGCTCACCCTTATCCTGGAACCACATTTGCCTGAAACATGCCTGAAACTTTAGTGGGTAAGTAAACCAAAGGGCTTCCGTTGCGTCAATACACCAGACTCAAAACAATCTCAGCTTGGTATATGGTCAAGGGTCAACACTAAACCCTGGTACCCTTACAAACGCGAAAATAGCTGGTAAATGGATGCGCATCCTCCCAAGAATGGGTAGTATATATGGAGATATATATATATATATTTATATTATATATGGCAGTATAGGTTTTGAATGCTTTTGACCCGACCCATGCTGTACCCAATTGTAGTTGTGACCTTGATTTTCAGTGCATGGATGTAACCTGGAAAGAATCTAAATAATATCCGAGCTTGCTCTGCCTAGCTGCCCATCTCTTCCTTCTCAAAACGTCTAGAGGATCGATTCACACTGCGCTTGACAGCCGATCGGCCCAGACCAACATTTGCAAGGCTTGGAGCGTTGGACCATCGAATCCTTTCGAGACTTTCAGATTTTCGAATGATCCTGGTCTCAATGGCTTTGCGATGGCCACGCCTCATAGACCACCCACGGGCAGGAAATGCTGGGAACGGATCATCGCCGCATCCATCGCATCCGTCATCAATCAAAGCAAAGGCCATGATCGAAAACTCAGCAATGCGGCAATGGAATAAGGTGCTTTTTTTGCTGGTTCCCAGCCTTGAACCATCAATGTCAAGGTGAAACATACGAATCAAAAGGGTCTCTTCAAGCAGGACCGCGATGCACATGAGCTCTCATATCATTTTCGGTTCGCCATGATTTACCAAACACCTGCTGGCAGCTGCAGGAACACCACTTAGTATAGCCTGCACAAAACATCAGAAGACCATATGCATCATATGCATATATATATAATATATATATATGCGATTAGATGATTGGATTCCAAACATCATACCAACATATCACAACATCTCCATCTCCTACCCAGCATCAACCATTTCAAAATGTTCAATGAGTTCAATGTCCATCTTCCCGTTCCTGCCCTTCAGCCCTTTGGGGCTTGGTCTGTTCGAACTGTCTCCCAGGAAGGCTGTTGCTGCTGACGCCTCCACCTGCCATGCTCCGGAGGTGCTTCCAAAAAATCAACAGCTGCAAGGTGGGACAGATCCAATCAGATTCATGGATGTTGGGTACTCGCTTCTCCTTAGAATCCTTGGAAGAGTGTAAGATGATATGAAAGGAACCGATTTTTCGTTGTATAATGTAGTAAAGGATTGCCTGCAACAAAGAACAACCTTCGTAAACTGCCATGGTAAAATGCACGGAGCACGGCTTCTTAAGACCACTGACCATGCTCTTGCGCCAAGCTTGAAGGCGACTCCTTCGACCTCAATTGGACTGTGATTCCACCATTGGGTTTGGGATGGTTGGGACGGGCATTCAACGGCATTTCAGTGGTGCTCGTCTAGAAACCCTACAAGTAGGGGACACGTCTTGGATCGTTTCATATCATTTCATATGAGCGGTGTTTAAAAGCTCCATTTAAAACTGAATGGGAAACTATTTCTGCTTGTGCGAAAACCCTTGCACCATCCTTGTGGGACCACAACGGGGGCTTGCGTGTGGTCAAATTTTCAACTGAGCTTGAGCAAGCGTGCGCGAACGTGTTTTGCTGGGATTGCGTACGCTTTTGCTTGCACGATGCAGGCGCGAAGCAGGTTTTGAAGTCGGTTTTCAAAAGTTCATTCTAGATAGTTTGGAGCTGTTTTGAGCTTGCGCGAAGCTGGCACGAACATAAAATTGCATAAAGCTTGTAAAAAGCCTGCGCGCGTGTGGTCCCGTTCAACTTTTCCGTGCACCGAATAATAATGGTCTACCGGCAGGTGTGAACGCGGTTCATATGATTTCATGTCCATTCTATATATTGTTATATCATATCTCTGTTATTTTCGCTGCAGTCTGACTGTACTTGTACTTGACCAAGGGCTGGACGAGCAGCCTCAGCGCTTGGAGATGAGAAGGTGTGCTCCTGCCAGATCTTTTCCATTCTCCAGCCAATTCTTCAGCCACCAAATCCAGGTAAAATCCACCAGACTAAATGGCTCCAAGGCTGTCCTTATTGAAGTGCTCCGCTGCTTCACCTGTTGTGCCACGAAATAACAAGAACAAAATAGAATGAACGAAAGCAACATAAGGTCTGTCATGGTCTGTCGAAAGGTTACCAAAGCCATCAGAAGTGGCAGTTTTCTCCAGCAGCTGAGCTAGCGGCTGCTTTTGCCAAAGGTCGTCGGCGAGAACCTGCAGCCCAAACTGGCAACATGAAGCAACAAGGTGAGCTGTCGCCTCTCTGAGCCACCGGCCGACTGCCATCTTCTTCTTTGGAAGGGCTCGGGTGTGGAGACACCTTGCTTTCACCATATGAACACAGTGACTTACTCAGTGGGTTTCCTTGCAAAAAAGAGAGAAAAGTATAGAAAAGTTTGAACTTTTTTTGGTTGGGTTTGCGAACGATTTCTAACTATAAAATGGAGGCCCCTCGCGCGCGCGAACCCAACCCAAGAAAATGTTTAAAGTTTAGACACTTGCTGAGTTAGGAGTGATGCAATCTTGGAATTTCTGACCTGGTGTTGATGAGTGCCGATCAAGCAAATCAAGTCAACTCTGACTCCTGGGAATGCAGCTGAAGAGTGCAAATCCCCATCAAATAGCGCCATTACTCAGCCATGGCGAGTATGTCTTGGCACTCTGACAAATAAGTCGAGTCAGGTCAGCACTCATGCATGGAGGGATTGACTTGGGTTACAATGCTAAAAACAAATGAGGGAGTTGCATAGACGTTGCTGCTTTAGTTGTGTGATGGTTCCTCTGGCAAATGCGGCCCAAAAATTGGTGGTTTTGAATGTGAGGCATGGGTATCCAGCATGTATCCAATCCACAGGAATCCTGGATCGTCGACAGCAACCTCTCTCTTTCGTCTCATATGCTATGCTCATTCTTGGGTCAGCATTGTTGATCTGTGTGAGAGGATCAGCTGCCGTTTTCGGACTTGCATATGTATCATATACATTTGATAGCATATATATATATATATTATATAATATGTAATATGTATATTGTGTCTGTGTACATTTATATGTATTGTCTGTATTGTGTATACGTACTGTGCACGGGCTTTGCTTTGTGTGTCGCGGCCACGCGGAGCTTCAAACGGCCCGGAGGTGCAATGCAACAAACGGGACAGCTTAACTGCCAGCAATGATTCTACTGAAAAAGAAGAGGCCACCACGCAGACCACGCACGTATGATTTTCTATATTTTCTATGAGCCCATTATCAACCCCGTATGGCCATGAAAATCCGTTTCGCAAGTGTTTTATCATGTCTGTTGCACCCTCATCGCTCATGTTTTTGATCTTTCTTTAATCTTTCAGGCAAAAGGAGGTATGTTTATTGCACATTTGGCCCGGTGGCTGCAGTATTTCTGCTGCCTCGCTAGCACTGCTAGAACGACTTTGGTACTAAACCATTGTCGCACATCTCAGACAACGAACACAAAGCATGTTGAGGAAATTGGAATATAGTTGTACCGCACCATACCGTTTCAGAGTCTGAAATAACACAAGACATAGATGGCATGTGATTGCATTGCAACTGTAATGCAGGGCACTAGACTAACTCTGGCGACCGGATCGCTTCACTCACTGCATCGATCATGGCGAAACAGCTCCTCCTGCTGGCAATCAATGATGATTTTGTTGGGAACCATGGACTGCATGGCCGCGTGATGCCCATTGACTCGCCTTAACACCTTCAACCTTGTCACACGCACCAAACTCAGACATATCAACATCCTTCAACCCCAGCCCATCCAGTTGCAAACCTCAAGAGTTGGCAGAGTCGCTACCCTTCATCGCCAATAAAAAGGGTTACATGGGTAAACCTTCAAGCAAAAACCAGATGAGTCACATGCGAATACTCAAAGTCACCTCTAACATGGACTGAATGCATGACCTGCGCTGGCTTCCGCATCCCGCTTGCGCATCAGAAGGTTTATCAAATCAGCCATTGGTTCGAGCCTCACCGCCGCAGGCATGTAGTTGACAACATTGCAACATGCATATCCAAGAACATTATTAATCACTCCAGGATGACTCTGTGTGTGTATGTGTGACAGAGGTACCGGTATGTGGGAATACACCAGGGCAGTGTGTGTTGCTGGGAGCACTGCTCAGACTCCTCAATCAAGTCAAACTCTTTCACAAAGTAGACGAAGTGCTTGAAGGAGTGGTTCCTCAAAGAAGTGGTGGGTGATGCTAGGTGCATGAGGGTACCAGCTGGCTGCAAGAAACAAGTACCTTCAAATCCTTGCATCACGAACATCTGGATGCCCCTGTCCGGCAAAACTGTGGCCCCACTGGGCCACGAACAAATGAGCATCGGCATCACTATCCACCATAGCCTGGTCCATCACAATAGCAACGGTTGGCACCATTGTTCAACTCTTGGATCAATCACTACTTGAATCCAAAAAACTCCAACATACCGTAACATACCATATAAGACTCCATGAACGTGCCACAACATCTATCAGCTGCCCACTTTAAAGGAACTGGAGTGCCTTGAAGTGCGTGTGGAAGACGTGTGCGTAAATACGGAAGAGGCGCTTGTAGATGACCTTGATCCCCTGTGCCAGGTACGCATGGTGCGCTTCGTTTCAATTCACCAATGAATGGCCAGGAGGACACTAGAGGCGGCCTTCTTGAAGTTCGGCAAGAACGGTTGCCCGGGCTGTACAGGCAAGAAGGTCCTCGATGAGTGGGCAAAAGATCACAAATCAGGAATGTTGCAAATAGATGCAAATAGACTCGCACCTATAGATCCGAAACTAATTATCAAATAGCCTCCATTGGGCAATCCAATGCAATCCATCCACGCATGCCATGAGGCAATCCAGCCAACAGCTTGTCGGGGTGGCCACCACCTCACTGTTTTCGTGTCTGAGGGCCCAACTCATCTGCAAGCTGGGATTCTACCTCAGCCAGGTTGTGAAGTGTCTAGGGTGGAGTGCCAAAGAAGCTGCAAATCAATTGTCGAACATGAGCGAACACACTGCTTTGTGAACTAACAACTGCTCAAAATCTGGTTCCGCTCTACCAAGTTTCAAATGCCTTCAAAGTGCTTAGATGTGCTTAGGCCCTGTGCCCAAACCAACAACTTCTCCATATACTTTGGCGCAGAGAGCGGCTGAGGGGTCTGGCAGAGTAGGCTTTTGGGAGCCCACGGACCCAAAAAATGAACGGATGAGTGTGGTACTCTCTGTTTAATCCTTCATAATTATATAACTCCCGTACAGCATTGCAGAGTATGTTCGGGTACTGAAAGTCTGATAAAAACAGAAATCCTGTGACAGGAGCTTTGATAGATGTGCACTTTGCACCCTGCCTAAAAGGCCTAAAGCATTCTCTGGGAGAAACAATATGGAAGCTGGATGAAATTGGAGGTGTCCGATGCCTTGACTTTGTCACCATCGGCCCACTGCCAGCCAAAGCTCCCTGCTGACATTGTTGGACACGTGTGCTCAGTGCACATGTCCTGGCACCGGGTAGACATTCTCGATCTATCGTGTCCATCAGCCACTCTGGCGGTTTAAACCTGATAGAAATTGGTCAAGTCACACCATCTTCCCGGAATTCTGAAACCAAAAGTGGGCCAATATCAGCCAATTGTGGACAGCTGGGCAGTCAGTTGAGTTGCAATGTCAAACGACCAGTTGGCAGCACACTGATGGCACCAACCAGCAGGTTTAACCTTGGCTCCACCAGGACACATCCTGGAGCCCATCTCTTCACAGCCGAAACACACTGAGGTCAAGACTCATTGAAAAGGTCCACTGTGTTGAATGCCTTGGAATTATAAAGGCCAGTCACCCATTCACATCACATTGGCAAGGCTTTGGTGGGCGCCAGTCCTACCACCAACTTCTGCCAGCCGTCCATTTCGTTGAGTTGTCCGACAGCTGGGGGCCCTCTGATGTTGAAACCCAGGGCATATCAAGGAAAGACCAACCGGAGGTCCCAAGAGTCTATGTACACTCAACTCTTGCCCCAACATCACTAAGAACTTTGCCAGCCATTCCTCTTCGCTACATCCTGTTGGTAGCCGCACCTCTCGATACCCAATGAGAGTGCTCTATCGCTGAACCAAAAAGACTCAATAAGCATCCAGGACACAGCCAGAACACAAGGGACAAACCATGGACAAACCATGACAAAAAAAAAAACACGAAAACAGGCCACGCCTGGGCTGCCAAATCCATGCTGCCCAAAGTTCTTTGCCTCGCCTCTATCAGGTCTGCATAGCCTTGGTCCCATGGTTAGTGCCCAGCCCATCAAAGTACGGCATTTCAACAAGGTTTTTTTCAACATGCTGCTTGGATCTTAAATATATTTGCAACTTGCAACCGCTTGCAACTTGACAGAAGTTGGAATGGTGCCAGCTACTGCAACCCAACTGCAACTCAGCAAAAATACATGAAACATTTCTGGGACACCCACGGGATTCTGCTGGCAACTTTCTTGGAGGCAGCAAAGTCACGTTTTTCCTGTGACAGCCACGCATTGCATCATGGATTGGACAAATCTGCGGCCAATTCCACCCTCGCAACAGCTCCAAAGAACTCAAACCAGCGAACCATGGCAATTAGCACCAGCGCCTGTCTTCCCGCCATGAACTAGTCACCTTCACCGGTTCGCAAAGGTTGGTGCTAACATACGCCAAGGGATCGATGCTAAGGTTGGTTCTGTGAGTTGGTAACTCAAGTGTGCGGCTGCAAAACTCCTTGTTTCAGTCATTTGACCCCCACAAGATGCCCTATGAAAGGCGAGTAGTGGTAACATGGCAGACCTTGACTGCCTTCGCTGAACAATCTGAACTGTTTTCCTTCAGATCTCATTCAGCGAAGCGAAGAGGTGCCAAGGGAGGTGGCACAACATATGGCACTTTTCAGATTCCACAAAGAGTCGGTTTGCGTCAATTTTAAATGAACGAAAAACATTGCTGATCATGGAACTTACTGCATTTCAACCAGCCATGCGTTGAGACGCTCAATTCTTTGAATTGGTGACAGCACAGCTTTCAATCTGTCTGGCGCTGGCGCCCTGCCTCTGGAAAGGGAACAGCAGTGGGTGCAGTGGAAGAGTAACCCGCCGCATTCGGCGGACCGTTGGCCTCAGCGTGGGCAAAAACTCTAATACTGCGATGTTTTAACTCGGTTTCCCACCTTTCGGCATAGCCAAGAAAAACAAAAATACCATTGACATCCTTGGATTTTGGACGGAAATGGGCATCGGATATCTCATACCACATCGTGAATCTGTCCGGTATCATGCATCAATTTCAGAATTGGACTGTTGGCCGGATTCATCCGGATTCCATTTGATTTCGTTTGCCAGTGCTGGAGCTTCTCCCAAAGCACAACATGCCCGGGCTTGCCATAGCCAGCCTCCCCCATCACATAGAGCTGGCCCGCGCCCACTACACTTTGCGGCACTTGACCCAAATTCGTTGGCGATGCGTTAAGGCTGTTTGGATTGTTTGGCACCTTCAACCCCTAGATTTGGATGGCAAATTGGTGGGGGATGTGGAGAATTTGAGTTCAGTTGACATCTTGATTGCGGATCATTGATGACGGTAGCACCTGCGGAACGTGGAGTTTTTTTCCAACCATCCAGGAAGATCTAACGACTGGTGTTCTTACTGGTGCTCTTCACGCGCACGCAAAGCACATGTGAAAGTCAACCAAGATCTGCTATTAGGCATCGAAAGGTTGCCCTCCATTGGCTTAGAATGATCAGGACTGTAAGCTCCAACCCAAGAAACAATCAGGTAGGCTGGTACCCAGGATAAAAATATGAAAATCAAAATGATAATTGACGTCACATAATATTATCATATTATCATATATCATCACTAATGACAACCATTTGGATCGCCCGTCACCATCCTTATCATCCTTAATTAAGTGAAAAAGATCTCCGAGCGCCTGCTACAGGTCCCACACTCTGTACGCATCATGGGTTTTGGTGCTGACATGTGCCATAGCTTTGGCGAGGGCCCGGCATTCTCTTTACATTTTGCAAGTGCAGGGCCCTCCAATCCAGGACAGGGATGCCCTGGCTGTACATGAAAAGTCTACCAACAACCAAAATCAGCAAGTGGCTGCGAAATCAACATTAGATTAGAGGTCTGCTGCAAGTTGAGTCAGCATGTACATGCCTGAAGCTCTCTACAAACACAATTGTTCATTCATTGTTGTTGAAAATCCATCGATGTCACACGCGCTCGACACCTACAACTCGGGGCTGTGAGCGTAATGCCACAGCCCTGCACGTCGAAGCAAGTGATTGGATGTTGCAGAATTGGCATCAATGACCTTCTTCGCCTGCTCATGCCCAACTATGGGAAGCTGCGTCTCGTCCTTGGTGACATGCCGTTTGAACAAAAACGTAAAACATGCTAAAACATGCTAAAACATGCTTAAAACATGCTAAAACATGCTAAAACAAACGGACGAATCATGAAATAAACAACACCGCTGAAAAAAACATGGCCACATCTGGCTAAACAAACGATAAGAATCCAGCAATCCAACCTGAGCCAACACACCAGCTTGGTCCCAATAGATATGTTCATGCGCAAGCCGCCACAACCCTTGTAGGTTCTTCTCAAAGCGAACAATGGCTACCAAGGGAAATTCCAATTGCTTTCCTGTAGGCGCCACCCCTGGTAGGAGCCATGGAATAGGCGCGGTGTGGTTTGCCAGCAGTACAAGTTCATCTACCAGCTGGTTTTGCCCCACAGTCCGCGAAACGGTTCTGAGGATGATTTCAGGGTTGGAGAAAATGAAATGTTCGCCGTAAAAATGCCTCAACATGGGTTTGCCAACGCCGCCAATGCTGGTAGGAATATGATTTACATATGGTTCCTCGATCATGGTCTCCATCGTCTTCCCCACGCTCTTGTGGCCGGAGCTGAATTCATATCGACAGTGTTCCTCCCACAAGTCACTAAGCATCTGCTGGTGTGGCGTCAGTGGTTCTGATGCTGCCATGACACTGGCCAATTGCATCATGGCAACATACAAATAGACCAAAACAGCTGGAAAAAACACGGCCATGGCTCAAATGTATGACCTACCGAATGCTTTGGAAACCCATCATGTTCTTGTCACCGATAAGTAAAATTTGGCCAGAATCTCACAAGATGATGCCAAAAGTCAAGAAGGAGCGCCATTAGTGGTTCATAGTTCAAACATGTCAAAACAATCAATCGCTAGTAGGCGAAACCTGCACACAATTTGATACAATGAACACGCAAAACAACAAAAATCCTTCACTAAATTGCCATTCTGCAGCAATGCACTTGCAATCTGGACCCGCGGAACGGCAATTTTTTGGGGGTGTGTCATCAAAACTCGGTTGATACGAATTTGTTCATGTGTGTCGCTGAAACAAACATGTCCATGACATGAAACGTATTCTATGAAACAAAAATGTCGTGCAAACATGAAAACATGTGAGAACACCAGGCATGTGGCCACCACAACGCACTTTTTAATCCAAACCAATTCTCGTCGTTGGCATCAACGCAATGGAAATGCACAAAATTGGCGAAGGAAATTTAGAAGTCAAATTTCCGAAAATATTCGGACAGATGGAAAAAATGGAAAAGCAGAGCTGGGAAGAGTCAGAGAAGAGAAAGGAAGAAGAAAACAGATCAGAGAGAGAAAGTATCAGAAGAAGATGCAGGCGCGCGAAAAGGTAGAAAAGTCGCACTGCTTTGGGGCTCCGGAACAGTAGGCTCACTTCACTTCTTGTCACTTAGTCGTGAACATGTCTAGACAACCAAATGCATTCTGGGCTGGGCACCCGCAACCTTCGGCCATGAAAGAAACAGCAAACCTGCAAAGTTGTTCTCCTGTTATGTAGCCTTCCAGTGGGTGCCTGATGCAGTGATCAAGGATTTCCGGGGCTATATCGGTGAGGATGCCTGGACAATGTGAACTAGAACAAACCCCCCGGTTGGCAGCCGGCTTGTTCAGCTCCAAGTATCTCCGATGGAGGCACGTAAATGTCGAGGAGTGTAAGATGTGTACTGGCCGGGTCCTGCCGTTGTATCAGGAGGTCATAACCAATTGAACTGTGAATGATAACCCCAAAACCACAAAAGAAACAAGTTAACCGCGGCTCACCGGAAGGGCCACGGCAGCGGACTTGTTTTACCATCTTGAGCCAAACAAGTAAGTGGCAACATGTTGGCCCGTAAGGAAGGATACTAAACAACTGAAAGAATGGGTATAGGAAACCTCCATTTCTTTCGAATTTAATGTTGCCAAATTCTGTTGGAAGGAAATGTTCAAGTTAGTCAGTCTGTAAAACCTACATGATAATGAAGCAATGACACGAGCTGGATTGATGATGTTTTTTGAAAGGTAATAGGATATCTGACATGATGTTCATCATTAACATTTTCATGCTATACAAAATAGCCGTGTTCAACTATGACAGGAAAACACAAAATTAAAAAATAGGTACAACAAACAACTACTTTAAAACCATGTAAGGCTAATTAAAGTTCAGTGGGATAAGCTTAACTGGAAGATAAATGAGCATACCCTTAAACTATACAACAATTCATTATCATGCGCATCAAGTTTTGATTGTTCTAGGAGAAAGCGCTTTCCCTTCTTAATCATCACCCCAAAAAACGTGCTAGTATAATATCATCACCCCAGGCGGTCATGATATTAGATGATACTGTTAGATAATGTTGTGTAGAAAAAACTATTTCATAAATCGTTTCGCTTGTTATGACCATTGATGTGTGCAGAAGTGTATGCAGTTGATTATGATGAACTGCACGTATGTATATGTATATGTAAATAACGGTTCGGGGGTTTAAAAAGATGGGAAAACTGGTTCGAAACTATAGATAATGATAGATGATGGATAATGATGAGAGATGATGCATTATTGGTGATTGATGGTTGGTGCTGCTGATGATGATGATGAAGAGGAGGAGGAGGATAAGGATATAGATGATGGATGATAGATGATAGATGATATTGATCACAATGATGCTGGTGTGGTGGGGTTAGTGTAACACCCACGCAGGAGCGCGATTCAATGGAGGCCTGTTTCCCAAAGTGTGATTTGCACGATCAGCTGCTCAGGGATTGTTATTGTGAGCGATTCGCATGGGCGTGACCTGCCCCCAAACCAGCCCTCCTCCAAGTGGATCCACGCCTGCTCCTGCAATTGAAGGTCCAGAACCTGATCATTGAAGGCATCATATTCCATGTGGAGAACCTCCTGCTTCTGCACCTTTTGGACCATCGGCACCTGCAGTACTATCAGTTTCTGTGGTGGCCATTGTTGCTTGTCAGGGCCCACCCGGAACCCTGTTCGATTTTGCTTGGCCCCTGGGCTTGCCCATCATGGCCAAGAGACCCATTTGACATGTTCCTTGTCCTTTGGCAAGGCCTTGCTCTTCAACATGTCGATAGAGACCCACGCGTCGAAAACAGAGTCGTAGCCGAGGTAGTGTACCTTAACCTCGGGCACGCTACATTCTCCAAAACAGAAGCAAATTGATACTTTCACTTTCCTCCGGTTTTACCCTGTGAAGCTTCGAAAATTGTTGCCGAAAACACGGCCCACATGCTTTCTCTTGGCCGGGGCACTGGGTTCTCCTTTCTCTTGGCCGATGTCGAAAGCAAAGCCACCTCCGCAGCGCGTACAGGGCGTGCAGCTTTTTGCCGGCCGAGAGGCGTTCGACCATGGCAGGTAAATCACGAAGCAACTAGAGCACCGAAGCTGCTGCTGATGATGATCATGAATCATGACAATGATCATGCTGGTACCAATGGCGACGATAGGGCATCACCATCATCATCATCATCATCATCAACATCACAATCACGTTTACGACCATGTTGACATCAACCAGGCGCTCAAGGATCTGAAAGCCCAGCTGAATCCTAACTCCCGAGCTGCCAGCAGCTCTAGTCTGATGTTTGGGGGCCTGCGAGAGCTCAATTGGCTTAGTTATCTTAGTTGATCATAGTGTTCATCCAACTCTTAGGCTAGCACACTTTCTGGCCAGCACGCTCTCAAGCACGCACGCTCTCTAGCTTGCACACCCTCAGGCTAGCACACTCTCGGGCCAGTACACTCTCTAGCTACTGCGCATTTACCACGTCGTTACCACGTTGTTACCATGTTGGCCGGTTGATCCACCACGTTGATCCACAAAACAATGCAGACCGCAAACCCTACCACGCGCCCTTGGGCATACACAAGGCTCATTGCCCTGGCAGCCTGCCAGTTGCAGCGGCTACATGTGTTCGTTCCTGCTGTTTGTGCCGGGGGGCGCAAAGGCAAGGGGAGAGGAAGAAAGCAGCAATACAAAAACAGACTGGCAAAAACAGTTCATGTTCACCACAACCTCTCGGTCCACATGGCAGGGGGTGTGGATCAACATGATGTACTTTGCGGGGTTTGTGGTGGGGATTCTTGAACAAAAAAGTCAGCGTCAAACAAAACAACGCAGGGACTCTGGAATATTTCTTGTAGCTGATATTTCAAAATAGATGTCTTGAAATCCCACGGTGGGGAACACTCGAAATAAAGTAATTGTCTTTTTTCTTGCTTTTCTACTTTTTGACCTTTTCAGTTTTCAAGTCTTTCTCACTTTTCTACTTTTCTCAGCGAAAAGACGCGTGCGGACAAGTAGATCGTGGCCGGCGGATCTCGCACACTCAGGAAGAATCTCATCGCACCTGGCAAGCCATGAGTCCACATAGCCCTTGCTAGGATTGAAAGACTTGATTTCACCTAACGACAAAGGAGTCAACGGAGTTTTCGAAAGACTAAGCCCTGGGCCTGGGCTTCCCCAAATGTACAAATCACCCCCAAGAAAAATTTGCGCCATGAAATGCTATGAACAAGTTGGACGCTTCAATGCTGCTACCATCATGGTGCTGCCGCATGTGTCTGTGTTGTGGGCAGCCGGGTTGGTGTTCGGCTTCTGCCCCGTGCTCGTGGTGTAGGGGGTAAAGCTCCAAAACTGGCGTGTGGCCCGGCAGTTTTGGTATGTCGGTGAGTCGACGTTGACTGTGATGTTGCGTTGGTCATAGTACATGTTCATTTGTTGCTGTTGTTGTTGAAGGATGTTCTGTTGTGCCTGCTGGTATGTGATTGTTTGTGGTGGTTGTGGTACAGGTCGAACTGGTGCTGGTAACGTCGCAAGGTCGTATGTTACTTCTGCATGTATGTCTCCATGATTCCTTTCTTGCATTGCTGCAATCTGATCCATGTCAGCCATGAATCCATCTGTTCCGCTCTGAAGGTCTTGTCCTGGATCAGGTGGGTTTTCCAGACTGTTGTTGATCTTGTGGACGTGCAGCTTTTGAAGGTCGAAACTCATGGGGTCCCTCTGTCACTTCATCAAGCCACATACCAGAGGCAAAGTTGTTCTCAGCACTGCGGATCAACTGGAGGTTGCATTCGGATGGTGACCAATTTTCCCATCCAGCGGCTGCGCGAAGCTGTGCGGTGCCAATGCGAAATGAAGTTTTGCCCAGTTGTACCCAGCAGCTTTTACGGTCTGGGTCAAATGCGAGGAATCTCGCAAGGTTCCAAGAGCCTCGCTTGTGCTGCCTGCTTTTGCCACTCATCCTCCAGAATGCCACTGCTTCGCCAGGTTGAAGCGCACTCAAGTCGGTTTGGTTGGGCGTCCTCCTCAAAATGGTTCGTTTCACCGCTTGCGATGCTGAGAACTGTGCCAAAGCTGTCCATGCTTCGGCTCGAAGAAGTTTTGGCTGTAGAACTTGTTGCTCTGGATGTAGTTGTGGGCTGATTGTCATGGCTTTGCTGTCGCTGATCAAATCTCCCACAGGTCTTGGGATTCGGCCAAACACTGCTTGGAAAGGGCTCCGACCTCAGGTATATGTCGAAGAGTTGAATGAGAAAGGAACTGCCACCAAAATTTCTTCCAGCTGCTTCTTTCCAAGGCTGCGTTCTGGTCAATCAATCTCTCGGCTAACGTCCTCATCAAGGCATTTCTTTTTCCAATCTTGCCAAGTCGCCATGCTTCCTCTGTGGGGATGATGTCGTACTCGATGCCCATAGTATGT